CAGAAGCAGACCGTTCTCAGAGAGGGTGCCAGAAGATGAACCCCTCAGGTCAAAAGACACTCAAAATGTGACCAAAGTGTGGGGGGAGGTCAGCTGCACAGGCATTCCCTCCCCTGAAGGCAATCAGTTGCCAGACCCCCACCTCCCTCAGCGTCAATTTTTTAATTTAATACTACACCAAAGAAGACTGCTCAAAGAAGAGTGAAGCGTATGATGCAGGCAGAGTAAAGCCTTGGGAACCTTCACTTACTGACGGGCACGACTCCAAAGAAGACCAAACAGCTTCAAACCTCAACGAATCACTGGAGCTTGGAATGTGTGAAGTATGGCTTTTCGAAAATTGGAAGACATTCAAAATGAAAGGAAGCATAAGGATCAATCGTCTAGGCAGGAGCGAGCTGAAATGAGCTGGCATTGGCTACTTTGAATCAGACTCATAAGGTTGCCTAGGCGGGGAATGGCACAGTCAAGAGGCATGGTGTTGCAGTCATTGTCAAAAGGGGCATTCCAAGATCTGACTGGAAGCACAATGCTGTCTGTGAGAGGATAATTCTATGCCCATCCAAGGAAACCCAAACATTAGTATGAAGGAAAAAAGAACAATGGTGTTCACACCCAGGGATCAGACTTTAAAGACTATAACAAAGCCAGGGAAGGGACGGGAAAGTAAGGGAAAAAGGAGGGAGGGGAAATGGGGGGAGGGGTGGGGCAGAACCACATCTAGAGGGAATTTAACAGGATGCAGTCAGTGACTTGATGACATGGGCCATGTCAATGTGTTAGGTTTCCCAGGTGGGGAATGCCCCGTCCTTGGCTTCACCTCTTCACCTGAAAGACAGACAGAGAGAGAGAGCGCGAGAGAGCGCGAGCACGCGAGAGGTGTACTACCCGCCCAGCAACCAGCCTGGATTAGTACATGCCCTTTAGCCATGGCTTCCAACTTCCTGTAGGGACCCCTAGGCATGGAGAGGAACTGTAGGTTAGCAAAGGGCTGGGAATGTCCGTTAACATGTGCCCAGAGGGTCAAGCTAGGGGAACAAAGGAGAGGCGCACCGCACATGTTCAGGGTTCCCCCAGGTAGGCAGGGGTGGGCGTGAACTTGAATTGGCTCACCTAGCCAGGTAAATTCAATTCAGCCAATGGGGTCAATCAGGGGTCTTCCACCACGCCTCCCTGTGGAATCCTTGAAAAGGCAGAAGCCCGGAGACCGGAGGAGAAAAACTCAGGCGCAGAGAGCTTTGGGCGGAACTTTGGGACGCTCTGCGGGACGCTGAGCCACTTCCAGCCAGGCCGTATCTCTGGGAGGAGCCCCTTGGGTGCTGTGTAAACCTGAAACTTCTTCTAATTCTCATAAAACTCACTTCGATCACGAACCAGGCCTCGGCGTGAATTCTTTCTCTCGCAGAGCCGAGGACCGAGGTATCAATCTAGCTCCAGAGAGATCTAACATAAGAACCCCCTATCTTGCGACCGAACACAACTACATAGAATATGTTTTTCTTTGTATGTATTATATTCCACAAATGAAAGGGAAATGTATGTGTGTGTGATTTTCTTAAGAGTGAGAGAAGAGTTACAGCTTCAACACTCCCCCGGAGGGGTTAATTCCTTCCCCTCTTGGATCTAGGCATTGGTCTGAGTGGTTGCAAAGGGAGGCAAAGTACCATTGGAACTTACTTGGATTCTTTTGTGGCAAATACATTCATTTTCACCCGCTCCCCCCCCACCCCAAATGTTTTTGTTAACTTTTGCTTTGCAAATGCAACACAATGGCTTTCTCTTTACATATGTGTTTGGGCCAGTCCACCAAGGCTGCCACTTGTCCCAGCTTCTGGAAAAGACAAATGACCTGGCTGAATTTCAAAGCACCTGTCTTCAGCGGTTCACAGAGCTCACCTCCCAGTCGGAACACAGCCCCCCTCTCCCTAGCATTGTTTCCTGGGGACAACATGATTTACTAAGAAAACCTCACCTGGCCAGAAACTTGCAACTGCAGCACAAAGAACCTCCCTTCCCCTTACCGGCTCATATGCCTTTAAGCTCATACCCTATATAAGTCCCACTGCCCCAGTACCAGGCAGGACTTCCCTGACCTAACTCGTTGGGTCGTGGAACCGGTCTGGGGGCTCAACTCAAGATTGCTCCCCCCAGGCCCCCCCCTGCGCCCCCCCACCCCCCCGTCCCTTTCCCTGCTCTCCCTTCCCTCCTGGAGTTCTTTCCCTGCCTCAATAAAATCTTTCTCAACTTCACATTCCTGGCTAAATTCTATTTCTGCTCTGCGCCTCCGTCTCCAACCTTTCAATATGACTTTTGGGGACTTGGGTTTATAATTCTCCCAGCATATTAGACCAAGTCATACGTTTGCAAGGGATTGATTAGCCTACTATGCAAATAAGGCATAAAACCACCCAGTTGAATTAAGTGATCCTTGAGGGAAATAGTTTAATTGCTCCGAAAAGTAAGTGGTCTACCCAGGGGATTAGTACATTTGGGCCTCGTGCTAGATTCTCCAGGTTGAGGGGAACCTCACTGTCATCAAGAAGAGGAGTCTGCAGGGAAACACATCCCTGAGATGGAGGACTGGGGCTGTGTGCTAGGAGCCTCTAAGACCTAGAAGAGTGTTGTAATGCTGGGCACATCCACAGACGACAGAGAAGTGGGTAGCAGCAATGTCAACTACTAGAACCCCGGCACTAGAACAAGGTGGCTGCGGTGCTGGATGATCCACAGAGCAAGTGAGAGCTGAGCATCTGTGGCAAGGGGCTTCCGGAAGAGAGGGATGCCTCCAGGCGCTTATTGGAAGAGTTGGGATGCTTATCCCGGCAGGGCAGAGGATAGGCCCAAGAAGGGCCTGGCAGCAGAGAACACAGATTTCCTGAGCGAGAGCAGAGAACCATCCTGAAAGAAGCTGCCCTGCTCAGTGAAATGTCTCCCGTCCCCTGAATTGCTCCGTTTACCTCCAGTTGATCCTGATCCCAAGTGGAAGCCTGGTACTTCCTTAATAAATCCCATGAATATGAGTTTGGACTGTGAGTTCCATGTGGCCATTGCAAGGCATTATTGAACCCAGCAGAGAAGTGGAAAGTATGGTGGCAGGAGAGGGGCAGCGGTGAAAGAGCGGGAGAGTGGAGGTTGTAGTATTAAATTAAAATGACGAGGAGGTGGGTGAGTGGGGTGCCAGCCCCCACCCGCTGCTTCTAATACTACCCACGGGTTCGGTAATGCACAATTGTACGGTTGAGATATATAAGTATTATATTAAAGTCATTGAGAGCATGAGAGATATTACAATAATACAGCCAGACACATTACATGGTAGCATTGCTCACCTCAGCCCCACTTGGTGGTCCTCGTGGAGGGGGCTTAGCCATCAGAGTAGGCACAGCTGCCTCATCCTCCTTAGCCACCTCTCCAGCCACCATCCGGAGAACCAGGGAGCCTCCTTATTTATTGCTAACCACGCATCATATCACTTTAGGGGGATCTGATTACAGAATCATGCATCACAGAAAAGGGGCAATACAATTCATCCTAGAACAAGTTTGATCACTCTGGTGTCTCATATAATAAAACAGACAATTACTATTCTGGGAGGCATGCGAGTCCCCTGATAGCAGACAATAACCTAAGTCACAGGGAGGGGTAGCAACATAGGCAGTACAATCAATAGGAGGGAGAGGACCTAGGGGTGTGCCCATATTTGTTGTGGGATAAACAGTGGTGTCTGCTTGATCTAGACAGCTGATAATGGCTACCTAACCTTGGTCATCTTTGACCTCTCTGGTATCTCCTGCAAGTAAACAGACAACTGCTATCCTTATCAGGGAGTGGGACCTACTTAGGGTGAGTCAGACTGTACAGTGTAGATGGCTGATGTTAGGGAGAATAACCTCTGACCTACTTTCGCTGACCGCCTAGTGAACAGTCATTCTCAAGCTAAATCTGGCCTATATTTTGGGGAGACAACTTAAGAGAAATCTTTCTGTTCCCCACAGGAGGTATTTTATCGGATGTCCAACTTCTGTGAACCAGCTGTGGGCTGATCTTCTGGTCTATCCTTCTGAACATAGACAGAGTCTGATGCCACTTGATAATGGGTCCGTACTGAGCATAACAGAGCAGCTCTCAGCCATTACAAGCGTCTCTTTCCCATAACAACCCACACCTCTGATTCCTCCCCCTGCCCCCCCCCACCCCACCCCAAAGCCTAATTCTTAACCACAGCCCCAAGGGCATATTAATTAATGCATGGTTTCACTGTCTCTCCCTTGTTCCCTCTCTAGCTCTTTCGTTTGCACTCGGCTATTCTATTTCTCCTCCCTGCCCTGGTGTCTCCACTTCAGTCAGCTTCCCCACCTTGCCTCTCCCTGTTCTCTTTCTCTGCCACCGACCCCCTCCCACTCCCCCCACCCGTCTTTTTTCCATAATTCAAGCCTGCTTTCTGCTCCAGTCTGTAATTTCTGTCACTAGGCTATAGCAAAACCACTGCCACCGAGTCCATTCTGATGCATAGCAACCCTCTCTAGGGTTCCCGAGACCAGGAATCTTGATGTGGGCAACATCCTTATCGTTCTCCCAAAGGTCAGCTGGTGGGTTTGAACTGCCAATCTTATGGTTCGCAGTCCAACATGTAACCTTCAGAGACAGCAAGGCTCCTATATTAAAGAATAGTAGGAAGAAATGATTTGTGGTGATGGAGCAGTTCTGTATCTTTTTGCAATAGCCGTTACATGAATTTACACACAGGATAACACATGACATAACTATGTTCAATGTTAATCTGGTTTTGACAGTGCGCTATCATTCCAAAGTGTGACCATTTTTACACCTTTCTGAGAACGTAAAACTATTTCAATAGACAAAGTTAACAACAAACAACCATAGGGAAATTCAACTGCATGCAACAAGCTGATCTTTTAAAAAGAGGAATCTGTTTAAAGTATAACAAAAGTCAGTGTCGGAGCCCAAGTTCCTGCTTTGTAGCCAGGCCGGTCCCTTACCACCTGGTTCGATCTCCCAGCAATGTTTATCCATCGAGTCCTCCATCGACAAGAAGAGGTAAGATGATCCCCAGTACAAGGCTGGCGTGTGAGCTGGAATCTCTGTGCAGTGTCCACAGTGGTCACAGACTCTGTAGTGTGCCCCTCCCTGTCTCAGGAGCCCGGGGCGGCCGGAGGCGGGGGCAACTGGTATGAGGTGGCCTCCTACCAGCAGCACTCTGCAGGAAAAACACGAGGTTTTCTACTCCCGTAGAGAGTTGCAGGCTTGGAAACCCGCAGAGGCAGTTCTGCCCTGTGCCACAGGGTCATGATGGGTCTGAATGGACTTGATGGCTGTGATGGGTGAGACGGCAGGGTGTTATTGTTTTCCTCTTTCTCTTAGGAAGTTTCTCCTATCAAATAATTTAAAAATCAGTCTGAAGTACTCTTTGTCCTACTTCACTAGCTAGAAATATCGTCTTAGCACAAGGACTCTCCAGCCCTCCTTATCTTCCCTGCGTCTGTGTCCAATAAATCCACTCAGCCCTCCCCCCAGCCCCGACTTCATAGTGGTCTATCAGTGCGCAATGCAGTTAGGTGCCACCAGGTGGCAGGCTATCCACCCTAGTGTCTGATCCATTTGGTCAGCTTGGCAATGGTAAGCAGCTGCATTTGGAACATGAAGCCAGCCTGCCTTCCTCCGCTTCCTGCTGAGAAGTGCTGGGACAGCCTAGTTTCTCCAGGTTTTCTGGCCTTGCGGTTTGAAAAACGATCCAATAAGGTACTCAGTTAAGGTCAGTTCAGCGGGTTAACAAAATACTTATCAAGCTTAGACTTTGTGCCGTGTCTTGTGCAAAGTGCTCAAGGCCAGCAACATATTCAACGTGCTGACCGAGTGGTATATTGATTTGCGTGTGGATGTGCACACCTGCTCCTGCAAAGTGGCTTTTCACGTTAGTGTAGTCTTCTTACAGTAAAACGGTGCACAGTGTTGCAAAAAGGGGGTTGTACTTTTGAGACCTAACTTTTCTGATCCAGACAAAGCTCAAACGAGGTAGTACTGGGTTTGATCAATTGTTTACGTGGATAAACACAAAAATGATGATCTGAAACGTAAACCTCTACACAATTCACAATAAAAGGTTTTAGAAAAAAAGAAAGGGGAGGAGGGAGGGAGGTGGGGGTGGGGAGAGAGAGAGAGGGAGAGAGAGAGATCTTTACAAGACCCCAAAATGGTTGTGCTGCCTGCTGTTTGGGACACTCCCTCTCACCTATGGACTGAAACGCGTGTCAGGAACGAATCTGAGGGGAGCTGGAGTAGGTGAATTGGCCAACTGGTGCTACTAAAAACATTCACCTACCTGGAGTCCCTGGAGGAAGCAAATGGGTCAGGGCTCAGCTGCTACCCAAAATGTCGGTGGTTCAAGCCCACCGAAAGGCAGCCTTGGAGGAAAGATTTTGTAGCCGACTTCTAAAAAACTCGCCTCTGAAAATCCTACGGAGCCCAGTTCTGTCCTCACACGGGACTGCCTGCCAGCAGCTGGGCATTGGCTCCACAGTAGCTGGTAGGTGTGTGGCAACTCCTCCATCCATCCCCCAGTTTCCGCACCGCCCCAGCAAAAGAAGGGGTGTTCCACAGCTCTGCATTCTGCTAAAAAGAGCTCAAGGGGGGCTCCGCGCATCCTCAAACAAATGCTTGAAATGCTTGAGGATCGAACAAAAGTGAATCCCTCGGGCCAAGTGGGCAGTCTCGTGGATGACCCCTTTCCAATAACGCAGGGTACAAAGGAGGGCAGTGGGGCAGCCACAGAGGACACTGGGCCCCAACCTGGAGCCAGCGACGTGTGTCTGAGCGCAGCTGGTCAATCAATCATGGAAATGCGAGGGGAGCGTGCTGGATGTCCAAGGCAAACACCGTGCAGGGATCCAGGGATCCGACCCGCTCGTTTCCAAAGCTGCGGTTGCTGCAGTGAATCGCCTGGCCTTTCTCCTGAAGTGCCTGTGGCTAGACTCCGCGGCCAGCTTTTCAGTGAGCAGGTGAGCCTGTTAACAGGTGACTGGCTTGGGAAACCCTAAACCAGGAGTTCTCAACCTGTGGGTTGCGAGCCCTTTTGGGGTCGAACGATCCTTTCACGGGGTCGTCTAAAACCATCAGAAAACACATAGTTCCTCTATCCGTGTCCAGGCGGTCCGCCCACATGCAGGTATATGCTGATCTGGGAGAAAGACGCTATCTCAACCTTTGCACTGACCTTGGCTTTTTACGAATACTGTCCAAAAATGTAGCGATGTAGTGTACTGTTGTTATATTAAGACTGTTACCCATGCTACACCATGCTTCAAGACAAAATTTCATTTATTTGTCATTAGAAATAATTATCACAATATATGATTACATAGTGTTTTTGTGTTTAATCACCATGCTTTAATTATGTTCAATGTGTAACTATGAAAATATATCCTGCATATCATATATTTACATTACAATTCATAACAGTACCAAAATTACAGTTATGAAGTAGCAATGAAAATAATTTTGTGGTTGGGGGTCACCACAACACCAGGAACTGTATTAAAGCGTCACGGCATTAGTTCGGTTGAGAACCACTGTCCTAAACCAACAGTGTTCTCTCCACTCTCAGTGGGCTACAGTCTATCCCTTACACCCTTCTGCTCCTGTGAAGACTGACAGCGTTGGAGACCCTCGGGAGCAGTTCTGCTCTCTCCTGTGGGGTCGCTATGATGCAAGCTTGACTGGATGGTCGTGAGTATGGAGTGTTTCAGAAGGAAACCGATTTCTCACTCACCGCCATCGAGTCAGTGCTGACGCAGAGCAACCGTAGGGGACAGAATAGAGCTGTCCCTGTGAGTTTCCACAACTGTACCTCTCTACAGGAGTAGAAATCTTCATCTTTCCCCATAGGATCTGGCTGGGGGTTTCGAACTGCTGACCTTGCAGTTTGCAGCCCAATATATAACCACTAGGGCACCAGGGTTCCTTACGTATGAAGCTAAGCGTTCCCTTGTCTACACTTCCATTATTCTAAGATCAAACTTGTGTAATACATGCAGGACCAATGCTGGAATCTTTCTCTGAGTGAAAGGCCTGGCAGCCTGGGGTGTGAAGTATCACAAGGACAGTTGTTGAAATCCACCAGACATTCAAGGGAGAAAGGTGAGGCCGCCTGCTCCCGTAAAGATTTACAGTCTTGGGAACCTATGCAGCAGGGCTCCTCTATCCTAAAGGAGCACTGTGAGCTGGAATCAAGTCGATCACAGTGGGTACTGGTCATTTTCAACACAGTCCTAATTCGTGAAACCATCTTAATACATTTACCATTGTATTTTGATTACCAATATATTTATCTGTCTCCGTCACTCAATTGTGGGGCTAAGGATGGTATCATACATCCTCTCTACCCACCCCCCTTGCCTTCACAATATACCAAACCCAACCCACGACCACTGACTTGATCCTGATTCACAGTGACCCTAAAGGTCAGAGTAGAACTACCCCCTAGGGTTGTGAAGGCTGTAAATCTTCATGGAATCAGACAAGAGAATTGCAATCTTTTCTCAGTGTCCTTCTTGGCTCTTCAGCATTGACCCTTATTTAAGTCCATTAAATGCCCACAGATATGATGTTCAGATTAAGGTCGTCTACGCCTCAATATGAATAAGGAAAACCATAGAAGAATTGATACATTTGGCTTATGGTGTTGGCAAAGACCATTGACCATGCCACGGACTGCTCGAAGCATGGACAACCTGTCTTGGAAGAAGCACAGCCAGACGTTCCTTAGACGTGAGGATGGTGACACTTTGTCTTAGGGATTTGGGACAGTGTCCAGAGGGAAAAGGACATCATACTTGGTAAAGGAGAGAGTGAAAACGAGGAAGGCCCTCAAGGAGACAGACTGACATAGCGGCTGCAACAACGGACTCAAACAGGGAGCATTGTGGGATGGTCCAGGTCTGGGTGGTGTTTCATCCCGCTGAACCAACTCATGAGCACCTAACAACTAGCAACCCCTCTAATCAAGGCTTTGCACGCTGTTATCAGCAACGAACGGCACAGAAAAGCTAGCCTCTCACGAAGGGTGAAGACGCCCGAACTAGTTTATTGTGTAAAATGCACAAGTATTAAAACCAATTTGGGCGGTTGATCATCAGGCACAATTTAGTGACAGGGGGTTGGCTTCCAAAAGGAGTCTAGCAGCATCAGCATCTCCACAGAGGAAAAGAAGAAAAGATAAAAGAAGAGGCGGAGGAGGAAGAAAAGGGTAGGGTGATAGAACTGGCAAACAGGAAGAAGGGAAAGGAGTGGCATTTAGAGAATATTCAGTAGTTGAAGTCATAAGATCAAAAACCATCTTCATGAGTCTGAGGGTGAGTGCTAACCAAAGCACAAATAGTTGAAAACATCCTTTCTCCATAGGGCATGCCCCAGGCCACCCCCACTCTTGTCCCACCCACCATTTGCCCATTCCAGGTCTATCTCATGCTACTGTGCTTCACATTCCCGTGCGTTTCACACAGTGAAGGGTTGTGACGAGCTGTCTTGAGCAGGCAGACTGACATCATTTTTCCAACAGCCAGTGCTCCCTGGGTGTCTCTGTGTCACAGTTTGGTCATTCTCACGATCCTTCAAATTGTTCATACTGCCACAGATAATGGTCCTGAAGTCTCGGAGTTGTCACCCAAGCCTGGCCGGCTTCCCATTATTATTAGACTACCAGAACCTCCCTGCCATCGCGGGGATTCTCTTAGAGATGACACAGGGTAGGGAAGAACTGCCCCTGTGGGTTTCTGAAACTGTTCATCTTTAGGAGAGCAGAGAGCCTCATCTTTCTCCCATGGAGCAGCTGATGGGTTTGAACTGCTCACCTTCCTGTTAGTAGCCTAACATGTAATCCACTATGCCTCCAGGGCTCCGAAGAGACTACTCAAAAACCAAAAAACAGCCCACGCAAACAGCAACAACAACAACAAACTCCCTGCCATGGAGTCATTTCCCACTCAGAGCGACCCTACGGGACAGGGCAGAACTACCCCTGGGGGGTTCTGAGTAGGTAACACTTGACAAGGGAGTAGAAAGCCTCTTCTTTATGTGATGAAGTACTGGCAGTTGGTGTCAAACTTCTGACATTCTGGTTAGCAGTCCAATGTGTAATTCACTACAACACCAGGGTTTCTA